GATATTTGCCCTAGGAGTCAGTAGGGAGAAGGCAGGGAGAAAGGAATGGGGCACAGAGGGGAGAGGGGTGTCATTTGCGACAGCTCAGGGATTCCAGTAGCTTACCTTCCTCAGCAGGTAGCTCTACCCAGGGAAAAAGAAGAAAAGAACATATTCATTTGGGGTTCAATCTAATGCCCCCCACACCCAGGAGTCTGTGACTAAGACAGGAGAATCAGGCCACCAGCAGGGCATCTGAGGTTCACCAAGGTCATCCCATAAAACCTCCCAAACTCCGGTCAGGGCCCCTGTTCTCTCAGTACCCTCTTCCCCCTGTAGTCATTGGACCATGGCCCAGAGCTTTTCCCTAAGGTACCCTGGCAGGAGAAGCTCCAGTTTGAGTGTGAGTGTGCGTGCGTGTGTGCTGCGGGGTGCAAGAGGGCATTACCAGCCTCACCTCCAGAGGACACTTACCATTGGGGCCGTATTTCTCCAGATGCCGCTTAACTTGGTCCGGGGTGAGGCCTGTAGTCTCGCTCACCCCAAAATAGGCCAGACATTCCTCTGTGCTCTTGGAGTGTGCAGACTCCATTGTGCTCCCTTCCTGGGGGCCAGGGGTCGGTGTTCCTTCTGGGGGGGTTCCACGTGTGGGGGGTCTTCCTCAGTGTGTTCACCTGCCTGTTTGTCTGGGTTTCTTCCTTTTTGTCTCCTGCCCCCCCCAGATTTTTCTTCCCTCCACGAAGCTCTGACCCCCGTCCCACTTGTAGCAGCTGGCCACCCCCCCCAACCCCCAGCTGGTCCTTATGAGGGAGTAGGGGGGGCCAGGCTCCCCCCTCCCCCAGATCTGGGATTGGCTGGCTGAGGCTCCAGCAGGAGGGGTCAGAAGAGGGAGATATTTCTGCTGACAGAGGGGGAACAGTGGGGCTGCAGCCTGAGGTGTCACTCAGAGGGAAGCTAAGGTGGCCCTAGCCACAGGGAAGGGGGGGTAGGGAGAGACTTCACTTTCTGTCTTCTGCTACTGACCCCTCCTCCAGTTGCCTCAACTTCCTCAGTTGCATTGAATTTCCTATTCCCAACTCATCCCTCCAGTTCTTCCCTCAAGCCCACGTCTCCTCTCAGGCCTTCACCTTTCACTTTCTTCACACCCCTTCCCGGCTCATCCCCCTAAACCTGTCTCTCCTGCCAATCTCTGTCCTCACCCAGTTTGTTTAAAGGCCAGCAGAGATACTCCAACCTTAAAGGAAATGAGTTGGGGAGAACATCTTTTGGGGGCTAGAGGAAGTGGCTCTAGAGGAACAAGGGGAAGTAGGGAGGGGAGAGGGTCAAGGGGACAGAGCAGAAGATGGTAACCCTACCCTAGGGAGGGGTTGCTGCAGCCATCAACAAGGGATTTAGTGTCCAGGCCCTGGTGAGCAAAGCCAGGACTGCCTGTCTCTCCCCTAAACTCCCCCCCCACCCCCATCGCTCTAACCCAGCCTCTGGGAACATAGCCTTCAGGCCCCCCCATCCCTAACAGTGAATCCCCCCCCCAAGAAAATGGGATACCCAGGCATCAAGGTAACCCAAGAGGCTACAGAATGTGCTGATGGCAGAAGGGGAGGGATAAATGTTTTAGGATGAGGGTAGGGGTCACCCCAAGTCATGGAGTAAGGGTTACCTTACCCACACTGCTCTCTTTAACCCAAGGGGTTTACCTGGCAGACCCCAGATAGCGTGTGGCCTGCACTCCACCTGGCCCTGAAGTATCTGTCCTCATAGGGAGGAAGGAAAGCTCTGTGCTCAGGCCCTGAGCATACTCCATCAGAAGAGGCATGAGGGAAGAGGCATCAAGGCACCAAGGGGCCTGGGGAAGCTGCATTGGCTTCAGACCAAAGGCGCGGGGAGGGGCAGGTTGATGGGGACAGGTCTAGGGGAAATAAGGACAGAACAGAGCTGGGTAGCAGACAGAGCTACCAGGGTCAGAGGGAAGTCTGAGCAGTGGGGAAAAGGGACAGCAGGGAGCTGGCATGTGGCAGCCAGGTGGGTGGGGGCCCAGGGCTGGGTGCAAAGCCACAAGTTGTTGCTGAGCGGCTGGCCTTGGTGTCAGCTTCCTCAGAGAAGCAGCTGCTCTGAGCCCCCCACCCCCACTCTGGGATGGGGGCATCTTTTGGTTATTACCAGGGCAGCTGCTGGAGAAACAGGAGGGTAGCATGGGGTGTGAGTGGGGAAAGAATGGAGAGCAGAGAGAGGTTCAATGAGAGTAATGGTGAAAGGTCAGTGAGAGGAAGCAGCCTCATGACCCTGACCTCAAGCCCTTCCTCGTTTTAGGCCTCAGTTTCCTGAAATGAACAGTGAGGATTATAGGCTGTTGAATGGATTCTCGAGGCTGCTCCCTCTCTGGTGCTCAAGTTCCTAAGCAGACAATGGCATAGGAGGCAGTGAGGCAAAGGAAAGGGAAGCACCACTTTTGGGGAGTAGGTAAGCCAGCAGGAGTGGATGGCACTTAAGGATTAGGTCCCCCACACTCATCCCTTCCTCCTCCTGGATTTAGGGGAGGGCAGTCTCCTGGGTGAGTTGAGGACATGGTGCCCCTTCCCTCCCCCTCTTCATGGTTCCAACAAACCCCTCCTCTAAAGCAGAATCCTGCTGTGACCTGGAAAGGGGGGCTCAGACAATGCGGTATGAGTGCCCATCGACAAGGCACCTCCACCTGGCCCAGCACCCATCCACCTACTTAGGCCAGAATCAGGCTCAGCATCTGCCAAGCCTTTTGCACTGGCTGGCTTCTCCCCGCCACTACCTGGAGGAGTGACAGGAGCACTGTCTTAAAGGAGCAGGAATGCCCAAACATGGAGAAGGGGGAGAAGACTGGACAGATCACAGCTTCAAGGGAGTTGAGAGCATGATGCTGAGGAAAGGAGGCAGGCTTTACAGGATGCTGCTGCCAACAGGGCCCTTTAAGGTTAGTCCCTTCTACCTCCCTCAACTTCCCAGAGGGAGAACTGAAGCCAGAGAGGGAAAGCCGCCAGCCAAGAGCCGCAAAAGGATCATCATCAGGGTGTGAACAGGGATGGGGAAGGCTGCGCAATGAGGCGCTTGCTCTCTTGGATTCCTCCCACTGGGGTCTCCAAGCCCAGGGTTGGAAGGTGTTCTTCGCTTCCTATCTGAAGGGTGAAGCTTAGAACGGGAGAGGTCTCATTTGGAGATAGGGCCTGGCCAATCCCTGACCAGTTCCGAACTTGAGTTGAACTGCCCATAAAAGTTTAGAGGGAAACAGTCTTAGATTCCTCCAGCCAAGACATGCAAACCTTGGGGTATAGGAGGGGTCCATGAACCCCTCCCCACCCATCTTCAGAAGGCAAGTTCCAGAGGGCTGGCAGGGTTTAGGGCAAGGGGGAGCCTCGCAGTACCAGTTGCTGCTAGATTAGGAGAGGATCAGGCCCTGCCTACACTGGGGTGCCATAGTCTTCCCTCACCAACTCACATTTAGGATACATAGCTCCCAGATCCCTAAACCAGCCCCACCTTTGCAAGGCTGATTCTATCCCCAGTATCCTGAGGCCAAGGTTTGGGGGAGTCCCGGGGATTAGACAAAACTGGGAGAGCCAGCAGGCTTCCCCCAGCTAGCCCCAAGCCTGGGTAGCCTGTGAGCCCAGCTGTCTCCTGTCCATCTCCGAACAGGACACAAGGCCCAGAATAGCAAGGTCATAAGCATGGGTAGGAACTGGAGGTGGGGGCAGAAGCTGAGGGGCGTGAGAGTATAGGCTCAACACTGCCTGGGAGGGAAAGGGAGAATGGTGAGAGGGAGTGCTGGATGGAGATGGGGAAGGGAGAGGGCCAAGCAAAATAGCTGAGTCTACCCTGGACAGTGTTTCTCAATGGTTAGAGGACCGGCCCTCACATCAAAGGCTCATGGGTTTGATTCACCATCAAGGACACATACCTGGGTTGCAGGCTCCAAACCCAGCCCTGGGCGGGGTGCATGTGGGAGGCAGCCAATCGATGTGTCTCTGTCACACTGAAGTTTCTTTCTCTCCCCCTCCCTCCCTCCCTCTCTAAAAATCAATGGGGGTGATTAACACCACCAAAAAAATAGGTAAGAGTCTTCTGAATCTGGCCCCTCCTTGCTGACACCCACCACCCGCAGAGGGGGTTGCCCTCCACTGGAGGAGGGCACAGCTGCAGTTCACAGAGCAGAGCCTGGGTTAAGCAGGGATTTGGGGTGGTGGTGATGGGAGACCCGAGAAGGAGGAAAGGGAGGTGTTGCAACTCAAATACCCACAGGGCCAGGCAAGTCTTGTGAGTGAAGTGGTCTGGCGGGGATGGAGAAAATGTGGAAGGTGGACTGCATGAGGCTGGATCGTCTGATTTTCAAGAGAAGCCAATAATCTGAACTTTTATGTGAAATTTCAATGGAAACATTATCCAGGTCAAGCAAATCATGTCAGTAGCTCCAACCTAGATGTAACTTCCTATTTCATAGATGAGGATACTGAGGCCTAGAGGGACTAGGCCACAGCAAATGAGAGGCAAAGCCGCGAGTGGAAGCCAGTGCTCTCTGCCATGTATCCTCCACCTTCCCAGCTTGGCTCTGAGAGGTGGAGAGTCAGCCTGACCTTGGGCCCCTCTGCAGCCAGACTCTGTGGCTGCCACATTAAATCTCTCCTAACACAGGCACCATGTCCCCAGCCCCACCCCCATGACCTCTCTCTGCCTGCTTTCTCCCTAGGGTAGAAAGCCTTAACTGAAGAATTCAGAGCAGGAAGGGTCCTTGGAGATCGTCAATCCTGTTGTTCACTGTCCTGTCCCATTAAGAGAACTTGGCTGGAAACTCCGAAAAGCACTGTTTGGCTCTGCACTTACCACTCAACAGCAGAGTCCAGAGGAGCAATGGACAGAAAGTACAGGACTAGGGAGCAACAGGGACTTCACCTGACCCAGCCCTCTGGCCTCTCAGCTCTGGAGCTCACACCACCAGTGGGCTACCTTCCTGACCCGCCTGTCCCAGCCCCCACTGCAAACACTGGCCACAGCCACCAAGATGAACTGAGATAAACCCTTTTATTTATTTATGCTTCTCCATTTTGTTTAAAACAACAACAACAACCACCTTAATATTAACTGACAGCCCTTCCCCCTCACCCCTCCTTGGGCTGGGGGGTAGTTAATGGGGAAATGGCCCCCAGGGGTGGGGCTGACCAAAGAGCCCCTTGGAGAGGTAATGGAGCCCAAATACCCTCCCCAGGGGACAGGGCACCTGTAGTGTATGAACTGGGGAGTTAACAGGGCTATTGAACCTCTTCTTGTACCAACATATATGCCCTTGGCCATCAAGGGTAAGGAAGCATATGGGGAGGGGATTCCTACCGCTCCTCTATGTCCCTGCCCAGCCCCAGTCTCAGGAACTGAGGGCTGGGGAGCAAGAAAGTGGAGAAAGGGTTGGGGTAGGGTGTCTCACACAAAGGAGTACTGGTTATTAATGGCTCTGGGATGACCCCCTTCTTCTCCATCGCCCCCTAGTGGTAACTGCTGGAGCTGCACCATCGGTGTTGCCTCAGGGACCCCACCAGATCCAGGGCCTCCCTGGACCTCCATGCCTGGTGTTATGGCCTCTTCCAATTCAACCACGGGGACCAGCTCAACCATGGGGACCAGCTCTTCCTGGATCCCTCCACTGCCCACTTTCTCTTTCTCTTGCCTCTCTTTGGCTGCTGTGGCTGCTGCTGCCGCCACTTCTGGCGCCCCCGACGCCTCTTCTGCCCCAGGATGTGGGGGATCTGTCCACGAAGGGGGTTCAGGGGGCGGGGGTGGGTCGTGGGAGGTGCTCGGTTCTGGATAGGAATGGTAAGAAGACAGACTGATTGTGGAGGGAGGCAAGTTCTTGCAGCAGCCTCCCCTTCACTTATCCCCACAGGAGCCATGTGCTATCTCCCCCACATCCCATCTCCTGAGCAACCCCCCATCCATGGAAGATGGATCATGGGCGGTGGTGAGAGGAGGACCACACTTACACACAGTCACTCGCTCCGAAGGGCATGAGGGTGGAGGAGGCATCGGGGTAGCATCGATCTCCCTCGCACACCCCTGCATGGCTCCCGGCCTGCTCTCGGCCTGGGGGGAGGGGCAACGTGGGGACAGATGGGACGTTGGGATGGGGAAAAGGGAGAGATCAGACAGGGACATCAAACATTAAGGAAAGAGGGAGGGGATCAAATCGAGCATTCCCAAGAAGGGCAGGCCCAAGGCAAGGCGGTGAGGAAGGGCAAAGACAAGGCTGGGGAGGATGTATTGAGGAGACAGACAAATGATGGAACAGAGGAGTCTGATGGAATGGGAATGCACCAGCCCACTCAGCTTCCTCCCGACTCCAGCCAGGAGCTCTCTGCCTTCCTGCCTCCTCTCAGCGTACTTCTTTCCCTTTGAACCCCCACACAGGCCCCTGCTCTCCCTTCTCTCCCTAACAAAGCCTCTCCTCCTCACCGACCCCACCCCACCTTTCTGGCACACACACCTCCTCACTTCTTGGGTGCACGGGCACCTCCTCCCCTGCAGACCTGCTCTGCTCACCCTGCTGTCGCTGGGAGGACACAACATAGCTGCCAAGGACAACATCACTGGGGCCTCCAGACTCCAGAGGGATGGGGTGCACCCGGAAATGCTTGAGCATATCAAAAATGGACTGGAACCACAGGTGCTGGACCCGGCACTGACCCTCCTCATTCAGCGACAAACGCAGGTGCTGAGGGCAGGATGAGCAAGGTGAAGCAGGAGCCCAAGCCACTGCCAATTACCAAACACACCTCCCCGGATGGCAACGTTCCCCACTCCACCCGCAAGCTCTCTGTGGAGAACAGAGCCTTTTCCTCAGTCACTCACCTTGGCCTTGCCCTGGAAGTTGAAAGTGAGGACGTATTCGCCCCGCCTTGTCTCACTCTGACGTACCAAGAAAACACCATGGGAGTCGGTGCCTCCAGCCAGTACTAACTGGGCAGCCTTGAGTCGAGAGAGCATCCCGTGGAACCAAGGATACCCTGAGAGGGGCTGGTCCCCCTCACCTCCCTCTGACTCCCCCTGGAACAGGAATGACCCTTCAGGAAGGAGAGAGGGAGGGAAAGCTGGGTGTCAAGGAAGCCTCCCCCATCCTAGGAGAAGAAAAGCCTCGCTTTCCCTTCCTGTGTCATTTCCCTCCCCCTGGGTCAGATCCCTCAGAAGTTTCAGGTAGGTGGGCAACCAGGCCTGGACATAGGCACACTCAAACCTCTGGTACCTGTGGCTGTTTCTGGAGTGTCCAGGGGTGGGTAGGGGGTCGAGAGAGGATGAACTGTTCCTGCTGTGGGTCCCTCTTCAATGGGGATGCGGGGTGGCAACTCTGGGGGAAGCAGTTCCATTGAGTCAAAATGGGAGGCAGCAATGGAGGCAGAACTAGGTGAGATGGATGCTGAAGGGCGGTCTGAGAGGCCCCCATATGCCCCTGGAAAAAAACAGAGGACAAAGCTGAGAACTGGAGAAGCTACTCTTCGACAGGAGTGGTCTGCCTACGCCACCTCCCCACCAGCCAGTCTGCCCTGTGTGTACTGGCAGGGTCAGTTGCTAGACCCTTCTCTAGGCAGGGACCCCTGATGTTTTTTCAATTTATGTTTCATACACTGCTCAGGTACTACAGTTACTGAAAGGAGGTCCTAGAATCCAAAAGTGCCTCTATCTTTTTTGAATTGACAGCTATTGTTGCAGAAATGGAGGGTAAAATCCCTCAAATATTTTTTGTCTTAAAAAGGGGTTCTTTTTTTTGGCCAATAGGACAAAGCCTCCAACTCTCAGAGGCATCAAAGAGCCTCCTTTTAGCCCTAGCCGGTGTGGCTCGGTTGGAGTGTCATCCCGTGCACCAAACAGTGGCAGGTTTGATTCCCAGTCACGGCACATATGGGAGGCAACCGATCAATGTTTCTCTCTCTCCCAAATCAATAAAAAACACATATACATACAAAAAAAACACCATATCCTCAGGTGAGGATTAAAAAAAAAAAGATAAAAAAAGAGCCTCCTTCTAGTAATGCCCCCTGACCCAACCAACTTAATCTTCACGGTATCTTGTATTGATATATTTTCCACTTTAGCCCACTGTTCCATCCAATTTATCCAAATCCCCCAGGCTCTGCATCTCAGGTCTCTGCTCTCCCCATGTGCCTCTCCAAGCTGTGTTCTTTTCTCTCACCTTCTCTGTATAGTACTCCCTGTCTACTCCACCTTCCCCAGTTCTCTTCCTCCTCTGAGCTCCCAAGGCACTTCCTTCCTGCTTGTGCTGCTCAGGGGACACTAAGCACAGACTCTCCATTTTAAAGTCCTGCCTTTTAGAGTGATGTCTTGTCTGCTCAGCTAGACTGTGAGCCCATGGAGGGCAAAGAGCTCATTTCAGCCATGTCTGCATTCCCCCATCCTGCCCAAGCCTAGCATAGAGCCAGGTAGGTACTAGGGCATTCCCAAATGTCTGCTGAGTGGCAGGCCTGAGCCTACAGGAATGTCGTACATAGTCACTGCTCAGAAGACAGGTATGTGTGCAATGTAGATAGCAGTGGCTCAGGCATCAAGCTGGTATAGCCCATCTTTGTTAGTGACTCTCAGGTGACATCAGAAAAGCCACTTCTCTTCTCTGGTATTAGTTGGCTGAGAACAGAGGGGATTGGAATGAATGGCTTGTAAGGTTCGTTCTAGCTATCAGATTCTATAATTCATTGTACTCACCGAATACAGCTTGTGTGCTAGGCACTGTGAAACTCAAATTCAGAAGGGAGGGCCATGAGGAAAGGGTGTAGTGGAATCTAGGAAGGTGAGCTAGGGTCAGGTAAATTTACAAGTCTCTGTGTTGATGTGTGTGGGTGAAGCTATGCATGTGTTTAGTCAGGCCAAAAAGGACAGTCAAAATAAAATTTGGTACCATCAACACATGCGTAGAGACACAGAGCAAGAGCAAAACAAAGATATATACAAAGTGTCCTGGAAGCTTAGAGAAGAGAATTGCATCTCCAGCCAGAGTGGTGGTCTGCACAAGGCTATGGAAAAGGTGACAAGGCTGGGCATAGAAGGTAGGCTAAGAGTTTCTTGGAGCTTGTGTGGGGTGGTGATGCTGATGGTCCTATAACAAACTGTGGCTTGGCACGTTTAGGGACAAAAGGCAAACATTTGGTGGGTGGGAATGGGTAGCTGAGGGGCAGGAATGGGGTTACACAGTAGAGTCTGGAGAGGGCATGGAGCCTGTCAGCAGGGGGGTATTGCAATGGCAGGTTTTGAGGTTCACAGCTCTCTAAGGCTCTACCCTTACCCTGTGACAGGCGGTCGTTGCTCTCGCTGGGACCTAGCAGTAGATCCTGGCTGGGCAGACTCTCTGAGTGATTCAGGCAGGGCAGTTCCAGGTTGTCTGTGTTCTCCCTTGTAAGAAATGAGGTCCCAGGAGCCAAAGGGAGGGTCATGGGTTGGGGACTGGTAGCAGGGCAGGGTCTGCAGAGACAGCGAAAATGGCGCTGGGAGGAAAGTTACCAGGTGAGAGGCACAAGGCTGCTCCCACCCCAGCCCCTGGCTCTCTCAGTGCAGAAATGAGGCTCCTTACCCCGGGCTCAGGCATTCTTGGATGTCGGACACCCAGGCCTTTACATGTAGAGCATCAGCTGTCTCCAGGATATACTCCGAAGAGCCTTCCACCTATGGGGACAAGAGAAGGCCCACAGGCCATTACCATTTCCTGAGGCCTTAAGCCATCCCTAATGAGAACAAGAACATCCTCCCTCTCTCCCCTCCTCCCAGAGTAGCCTCAAGGACATACTCTCAAGGAACCAGACATACATGCACCTCCTTCCACCAATGTCCCTTGCTCATATGTGCTAAGTGCTTTCTCCCCAACATAAGTACTCCAAGGGGGCAGGGGAGCTCCGGGCTCCCACCTTAACCACAAATGTGTTCTCCCGGTCAGGCATCTCCAGGGCCGTTGTTGTCCGCACATCCGTGATGGTAGAGCAGGGAATGCTGAGTCGAGGCCGAGATGCCTAGGATGGAAGTGAACGAGATACAGACTTTTGGGGGGTAAAAACCATCTTTCCCTTCCCTCCAGAGACTCAGCTTTCCTTCTATACCTTAAGGGAGTTAGACAAAAAGGAATAACACTACTTTTTCAGTCCTGCCCACAGCTACTAATTTATCAGGAGCTAGCTTTAAAAACTAAAGCAAGCAAAGCTATGTATGTGGGCTATTACCACTCTGGCAGCTCAATCATTCACTCCCAGTCACCCCCCTCCTCTGGGTCTCACCTTGGGTGGTACAAAGAACTCCAGACGACTTCCTCCTCCTCCTTCTCCTTCACTTCGAAGCAGTAAGCGACACTTCTGCCACTGAGGCTGCCCTCCTCCCCCTGAAGTAGGCCCAGCTGCCCCTCCTCCCCGGCCCACTCCAGCTGGGTCAGGGGCTGCCTCTTCAGCCCCCATGAAACTCAGCAGCTCTTCCCTCTGCACCATCCCTACTCCATCTTTCAAGGTCCCTCCTCCCCGACTGAGTCTCAGCCTCTCAAAACGGTGAGTCCATCTGTCCCCCGGGGACGTTCCATCACTAACCAGTCCCCTGCCAATGGTCGTAGCCCCACCTGAGGAGTTGGAGTTGCTGTTTCCACCTAACACTGGAGGGCCTGATGAGGTTTCTAGGGGCCCGGCTGGGGAGGGAGGGTCAACGGTCCCCCGCCACTGCAGGATGCCACGGACTGAACCTCGGACAGAGCGACCCACTGAGCGGAGGGAGAAGCGTTTCTTTAGCTTCGGCTTCGAGGAGGTCGTAGAAGAGGAAGAGACCGAGGAAGGGAGGGGGCCAGCCAGGTCCTCAGATGATCGAGAAGGGCCCAGCACAGCCAGGGGCCCACCCACCCTGCAGCTCTCAAGGGACAGGTCATGTGGTGGGATCTCCACACCAGGACTCAGAGGAGCCAGGATGGGTGGTGAGAGGGAGCCAGAGGCCCGAGCCACCTCAGCTTCAAAATGCTGCAGGAAGAGCTCAGCAAAACGGCGGGAGAAGGCAGCCTCAGCCCCGGGCCCGGCATATTGGGGGTGGGAGGCCAGGTAGAGGCGAAAACGTCGGGCAAAATCCAGGGCAGCAGCCCGGGCATGGGACTCACAGAACTCCCGCCAACTAGGGGGAGGGGGTGGTGGCAAGGGGGGAGGAGAGGGGAAGGCCCCATCCTCCAGGGAAGGGGCACCATTCATGATGGTCCCCAGGAGGTGGAGAGGGGGAGCCTATGGGGAGGGGCAGCAAAGAGGGAAGCGGCCAGAAGACACGGGGTGAGCGGCAGCAGCTGCAGAAGGAAGAGAGGCACATACACCAAGTCACTGCTGAGGTGGGACTGGGGGCAGAGCCCCACCTGAGCCAGACTCCCTACTTTGGTCTAGATTCCTCAGAGAGCAATGGGGAAGAACACCAACTGCTTTTCTACCTTTCCAAGACCCTTGCACCCCACAAGCCCCAGTCAACCGGCTCCCCAATGTCCAGTCTGCATTATCCTGCTGCCTTCCCAACCCACTTTCCCAGGCTTTGATTCCAGGAGTGATAAACAGCTGTGGAGCACCTTCCTCTAAAAAGGAGTCTGTTTCACATCATCTCCCTTCTCTAAAACAGATCCTTCAATATTTATCTCATGCTTCTCCTGTGTTCTTACCTTTCCCTGTGAGAGGTTTTAATAACCTCTAAACAGATGAAGAAACTGAGGCTCAGAAAAGTTTCAGACCTCCAGACCTACTGTTTCCCCCACTGCACAGTCCTTGTTCCCAGGGACTCACTGAACCAACCTCAGTCATAGCCCCTCACTGCCCAGCTCTCAGAGGAGCTAGGCCTGTAGAGCTTAGAGATCCTGTCTCATGTATCCTGAGGTCCCGCTCTGAGAAGGGTGGTTGCTCACTGAGGATGGATGGATGGATGGTGAACTGAAACAAGTGCTGTGTAAGGAAGGCTTGGAATGGTCACAGCCCACTTCTTTGGTGCCCCTTCAGTTTGGGGCTCAGAGGCAGCAGCACCAGGTGAGGAAAGGCTATGGGTTGGGTCATGGCAAGTCTTTGCTGGCCAGAAACTAAATAAAACATAAGAGGAAGATGGGGCCCTAGGACTTTTTACCTCCCTCGTCTCTCACTGTAGAGTGTACCCTACAGGCTGGCTAGCCTACTGATTAAGGCCATGGGTCAGACTTGGGATGAAATCCAGGCTCTGACTCCTACTAGCTGTGTGATCATGAAAAATAATGTCTTCTCTGAGCTTCAGTTTTTGTATCTATAAAACAGAGCTAATGATCCCTAACCCCTAGAATTATCAGGAGAATTAAGTGGAACACATCAGTGCTTGACACACAGCACAAAATAAATGACTGCCATTATTACTATCTTTTCTCTAAAAGAGAAATTAAAGAAGAGATTGCCCGAGGTCTTACAAATAGCAAATGGCAGAGATGGGCATGGAATTTACAACCCATGGCTCTTTTGTTACTGTTCCTTTCCCATATTACACTGGAAGATGACTAGCACCAGGACTAGGGTGAAGGTAGCTCAAGAAACTCTCCCCAAAACCTCAGACTCTTATTCAGATCCACAGTCAGCAACCCCTCCTCTTCCTCCTTGGCTAGGCCCTAAACTCAGATGGCTCCAACCATAGGGACAATTCCGAACCAACGAGAAGCCAGGAGATGCAAGAGTCATGGAGCACAGGGGAACTGAGCCAAAAGGTGCGGACACAGAAGAGAAACCAATCTCCAGGCAGAGGCCACCTCAGCTCACACAGGCCCACCCAACCCTCTACACCACAGGCAGACCCAGCCCCCTTCAGGCTCGCTGACCCTGCGGCTCCTGAGCTGGTGACTCAGTTTCTCTTCTGTCAAAAAGGACTCAGACACATTTGCCCCGTGCACCTGCCTCTTGGCTCAGTTCTGATACTTCCCAAAGGGCGAGTGGCGGAGGGTGCAGGCTCCGCTCCAGGCTCGGACCCTCGGGCCCAGTGCAGTCCACTCTGACCCGACCCTACTCCCTGGACACCCTCTACCCACCCACTCCCCCGGGCCGCAGTCTCCTGGGGACCAGCCCCGTCTCCTGCACTCTCCCGGGCCGAACGTCCCCCTGCCTCTGGGCCCCGACTCCCGCTCCCACCCAGGGCTCCTCGGAGGCGCCGGGGCCGGGTCGCGGAGAGGGAAGAAGGACTTGAAGAGGGGGGTTCCGGTTCCGGTCCCACCTGCATCTCGGTCCCCGCGGTTAGCTCCGGCGGCGGCGGCAGCTCCCGCTCCCTGCCCCCCCCTCCGCGACTACCTCCCAGCCTAGTTCTGCGCAGGCTCGGGGACCCCCTTTTTCCGTCACCGAAGGAAGTGACCATAGAGAAGAGCGGCGAGAGGGAAGGGCACCTTCACACTCGCTTCCGCCATCCCCTCACTCCACGCTACTCTCAAGACCTAGGAGGGTGTGACCCTTGGAGGGCTCGGTGACAGAAGCAGCCGTGGAAGGGGGTTGGGTCCCACCAGAGTGTCCGCCCGGAGGAAATTCGGGATAAAGGAGAGAAGTCAAGCTTAGAGAAGCCACTTCAGGGGGTACAGTCCCGAGGGCCTGTTGAAGGCTAGAGGCCACCTGGTACCCGAAACCAGCAAGATGAGGCTTTTTTGAAGGTCCCGCTGCAGCCTAGAGCGCCTGACCCGGCTGCTGTTGGCTTCGGGGATACCGCCCCCAAGGAGCTGGTCGAGGGAAGACTCGGGTGACCTTGGTGAGGCCCCGCGAGGGGGCGGAGCCTGAACTTGCGACCTTGGCTTCTCTGAGGAAACGGACTGGAAGTTCAAGGAGGCTCCATCTCTGAGATGGGAAATAAAGGCAGGAGTGAGGTGGAGAGCCAGAAATGTCAGTTTTGGACGTGTTCATGGACGTCAGGAGACGGACATACAGTCTGGAGCTCAGGAGAGCCATTAAGGCCAGATAGAGAAACTGAGAATCACGAATTTGTAGAGGGTAGTTTAAATCTTGAGCACGAAGAGATCCCTGTCAATTCAGTCTCTGACCAACCCCAACTTGCCTAAGCAATAAGGGAATCTATTCGCTCAAGCAGTTGAAAATTCCAGAGTAGATTAACTTCTTCAGGACTAGCTGAATAAAGGGGCCAAAAGACATCAGGACCTGTGGTCACCTTCTCTAAGCTCTGCTTTCCCCACGCATTTGGCTTCACAGGCAGGTTCTCCTCTCTTAGCGGCAAAAATGGCTTTCCATAGCTCCAAACTTAAGTCCTAATAGCTTAGCAACTCTAGTAGGAGCATGCCTCTTCTCTGAGATTTGCAGTATTTCCAGAACTGACTTTAGCTTATTGGTTTGGATTCAGCACTCATCCTGGAATACAGTGGCAAGTCACCCAAGAGTTGGGTAAATGCCTTAACTCAAGAATGTTTGTGCAAGGCTAAGGCTGCCAGATGGAGCTGGAAAAATTCATTGTGGGAGGGCAAGTTCTGGCCTAGCCAGCTTAGTCCCCCCCCCCC